TTATCGTCTTGTAACTTTTGACTTTTCATTGTGTTGTGCTAAAAACTGAAAACACTAAAAAACATTTCTAATTTAAGTATAAACAGTATAGTGTTTATTAAATGAATTCATGCTCTTCACAATATTTATTTGTATAGTAACCTTTTTCACTTAATATTGACTATTTTTCTGTCTAATTGATACACACACACACACACACACACACACACACACACACACATATATATTTGCTCTCACTACTGGTAATTATAATTCTTTCAACCTTGTTGGAATTCTGTGATACAGTACTTGTTAAAGTACTGAACTTTCACATCAATGACTGGAAAACATGGGCTTTCTGCGGAGTACTTGCCATTCTCATTCCTGCTAAAGCAGCCTTTCTTCCCAAAGTGAAATGGGAGGAGGTAGTAGCATAGTATTTACTAACAAACTGTATTATAGATTAGCTAAAGCCAGACTGGAACAAATTCATAATTGGTTTGTTATTAGTGAGCTGATTGGTGATACTTCCTAAATTTACCTTTTCTTTGACATTTTTTTAAAAATTATGTTTCTAAGTAAAAGGTTCCAGTCTTTAAGTCTTCCACAATTTTCTCAGTTAAGAGCTATGCCTAGTGTAACGAGGGCAAAATTGCCTCCTTCCCTTAATTTGTGGAAAGTGAAAGGTACACTGAGTTAGTATTTATATTAGTGAATAGTGGCAACCACAGAAGCTGTGCACAGGAACACAGCTAAGGTAAGTGGAAGTGTATCTAGGAGAAGGAACCGGAATTCAGCAGTGCAGCCTTCATTTCATTCTCCTTTCTTGTGAGCTTACTATATTCAGAAGTGGATTTGTGAACACATGTGATTCCTGATTTATCTCTGATAATAGAAGACAAGAGCAGAACAATTTCCTTCCAACAGCAATGTGTTAAATAATTTATCACACTTCAGTGACAGCATGCCCTGACAAAATCAGCTTAAGCAGGGAAGGGTTTATTTGGTCTTACGGTTCCAGTGGACAGTTCAACACAGCAGATGCGGCATGGTGGCAGGGGTTTGAGGTGGTTGTTTGTCACATGGCAGCTACAGTCAGGAGGAGGGGGAGAAGGTGAAGCTGCTCCTACCTCCCTTTCTCCTTTCTGTTTTGGAACTCCAGCCCATGGAATCATGCCACCCACATTGAGGGCAGGTCTTTCCACTTCAGTAATATGTTCTAGAAAATCCCTCGTAGACAAAGTAGGAGATTTGCTTCTGGGATGCTTTTAAATCCCAAGTAATTGACAAGTGAGATTAATCATCACAAGTCATTTTGATTTCACTTGAACAATAAGAAACCAAGCAAATTTCTGAAATTGAACCCACTACTATTATCCTGTGAAATGGTTATGATTAAACCAGCTCCTACTAAGTAATTCCTTTAAGACCACAGATTAGTGCATCTCTCAGCCTTCAACTGAGAAACTTCTTTTTGCAGTATATAATACTTACTACTGAACTGCACAAGCAGCCAATGTTCAGAGAGTAAGAGACCACAGAGTGCTCAGCCCTAAATGGGACATCACTTTCATGGCCCTTCCTCTCAAGGCTCAGGGATCTGTGGGAAGGATAGGAGGAAGGATGTGAGACAGATGCAGTGCAAGACTTCAGTGAAATGGTCTTTCCTGACATGATGGGTCAGTTGCACATGTGACCTCACTGAGGCTGTGACAGCGCAAGTCCTGGGCTAGAGCCATCCATCTAAAAGGCCAGCATGGATGGGGTTGGGGCTCACACATTCCCAGTGCTAAGGGAGGGACCACCAGCAACTGATGGCTTCTGGGGAAGGAACAGTCAGTTTCCTTCAGTTCAGGCCCCAAGCAGTGGGGCCCCACAAAGTACACGGCCCTGCACTCACACGGAGAGAGTTAGAACTACCTTGACTCAGTGAGCATAAACAATTGAGATGGACAAGTTTGAAGGCATGGGAGAGGAACTGGAAAAAGGAAATGGGGATTAGAGCTGATCAGAATGCATTGTCTGTATCCATGAAATTCTCTGAAACAGGAAATAAGTTACTCAGTCTATTTAGAAATGTGGCTCAGTTCAGGTATTATGAATATCCAAAATTAAGCTTCAGCATTAAAACTCCATAGCAACAGAAATTGTTGTTGGTGATAGATCATAGGATCAAACTTTTGAAATAGTATTACTAGGGACAAAGATTGTATTTCATTAGATTTAGAATTTTTCTTTTCCTTTTTTTGGTTATTTATTGAAAAATGAAATTTTAAGAGTTTTTGTGTTACTTTAAATTCTTGGAGTTGGAGAGCTGTCATAGCTGTTAAAAGTGCTGTTGATCATCCTGGGCACTGGAGTTTGGTTCCCAGGACCCAAGTCTTCTCAGGTGACACTGCCTGTAACTCCAGCTTTACGGGTGTCAGTGTCTTCTTCTGGCTTTCTCATGCATTCACATGCAGGTCACACGCACAAAGACATATAAAAAAGCTAATTCATGAATTCAGATGTTATCTCCCTGGTGATCATGTGCCAGAATGTGAGAGAGAGTTAGTTTATTACTGGGTATGGAGCCGCCCGGTTGCTGGAGATCAAAAGGGAGCAAACACAGACCAAAGGGGAGGGTGGCTGTTCTCCCGCTAGACAGAGGGAAAGGTGGGAGCTGGGTGATTCCTGGATGGGGTAGGTGGGTTAGGTGCCCTGTGTCCCGCAGATGCTGGGAAGGAAGGAAATACATGCCATGCTTTTAATAGACAAGTTACTTGACCCAGAAGCATGCTTACATTCCGTCCTCTTGTGTCCCTTGTCTCAGTGTCTGGAAATCTTAGACTTACCTGTGGTGTCTCTAGGAAACACTACACTTAGTGTTTTGTAGCTTTAAACTCCAGTTCTATAAAAAGTAATAATATTTTGAAGTAAAGTTAGAGATTTATAGTTGCTTTCTAAATTTAATTACTTTAGTGTTAGGATGGGTATGTAGATGTTTGTATGTAGGTTACAGGTACAAAACAATAGCTAATATGTGCCAAAGACAAAATGAATGTTTTCTGTGAAATACATGTCTACATTATTGTTTATTTCCTTCATTTCTATATGATAAAAGAGTCTAAAATAATTTAGGGACGAATCAAGATTTATTTTCTAGGGCACATAAGCCAGGAGTTTCCTGGAAAATAGCTTTAACATTTTTTTTTAATTTTTCTTTATTAATTACACTTTATTCACTTTGTATCCCCCCCTGTGGTTCTCTCCCTCCTCCTGTCTCAATCTCTCCCTCCCTCCACCCTCTGCATGCATGCCCCTCCCCAAGTCCACTGATAGGGGAGGACTTCTTTTCCTTCCTTCTGATCCTAGTCAATTAGGTCTCATCAGGAGTGGCTGCATTGTCTTCTTCTGTGGCCTGGTAATGCTGCTTCCCCCTCAGGGGGAGGTAACTAAAGAGCAGGCCAATCAGTTCATGTCAGAGATGGTTCCTGTTCCTATTACAATGGAACCCACTTGGATACTGAACTGCCATGGGCTGCATCTGTGCAGGGGTCTTAGGTTATCTCCATGCATAGTCCTTGGTTGGAATAGCAGTCTCAGGAAAGACCCCTGTGCTCACATTTTTTTGGTTCTGTTGCTGTCCTTGTGGAGTTCCTGTTCTCTCCAGATCTTACTGTTTCCCACTTCTTTCCTAAGATTCCCTGCACTCTGCCCAAAGGTTGCCCATAAGTCTCAGCGCTTCCAAGATCTAGCTATACCACTCCTAGGCATATATCCAAAAGAGGCTCAAGTACACAATAAGGACATTTGCTCAACCATGTTTGTAGCAGCCTTATTTGTAATAGCCAGAAGCTGGAAACAGCCCAGATGCCTCTCAGTGGAGTAATGGATGCACAAATTGTGATATATCTACACAATGGACTATTACTCAGCAATAAAAAACAAGGAAATCATGAAATTTGCAGGTAAATGGTGGGATCTGGAAAAGATCATCCTGAATGAGCTATCCCAGCAGCAGAAAGATGCACACGGTATATACTCACTCATATAGACATATAATATAGGATAAATCTACTAAAATCTGTACACCTAAAGAAACTAATCAAGAGGGAGGACTCTTGCTAAAATGCTCAATTCCTATCCAGAAAGGCAAAGAGGCTGGACATCAGAAGAAGGAGAAAAGAGGGAACAAGTCAGGAGCCTGACACAGGGAAAAGCTCTGCCCTGCAGACTATCAATGTAGATACTGAGACTTATAGCTTTAACTTTTTAAAGTTCTAATATATTGTCCCTGTTCGAATTGTAACTGTTTGATCTATACATGTACTGTGGGAGGACTAATTTTTCCCTTTAGTCACATTATTTTTATCTAGAACATAAGTTAGTGATTATAAATATTAATTTATAAACACAAATATACATCTCTTTGTAATTTGTATTAATTTTATGTTTCTGGGTTTGATGAGTCTTATGTATTTGATTATATTTTTCACAGATATAATTGTGAAAACAGAAACAAGTATAGTATTAGAATAAAAATCTGTACCACTTCATATTTCTTAAAAAATCATACTGTTCATCTAATGATATAGTCAGCAATTACACCAGACTCTGACAATTTACAGTCTAAATTGGTCCAGCTTATCTGTTTTGAATGATGGTAGTATTATTAGTGCCACAAGTCACTCTTTATTTTTTTTTAATCAGATTGCAATAGGATAGAAAGGCTGGATTAGCAGCTCATCACTGCTAATTTAAAAAACCTGTCTGAATAAATGCATAAGCTTCTGTCTCTTTTTGATTAGTTTTCTTCACTTTTGAATCAGGGTACCTTCCCCATTACCTATGCACACTGTAATGATTCAGATATTTTCTTCTTTCAATACAGAAAACTATAACAATATTTAGTGTTTAAATATTAAGCTTAACTCTAACAATTATTGTAATATAATAATAAAACACGAGTGTTTATATAAATCCAAACCCCCATTTTAGCAACTCCTTATTCCACACATTAAGTCAAATCACAACAATAAAAAAATGTAAAAGCCACTCTTTATTGCACATTGACAATATATTTGACAACCTTCTAGTTAAATGAATCACCAGATTAATTACAGTTGGGACATGCATTGTCATTTAGGTTACTAAATGTCAGATCTGTCATTTCCCAAGTGATTCATTTTGAAATTGGAAAGTGTTAATATGGCTCTAACATAGCTATTGGGTGTTACTCTGGCTGCATGTAGTATCTTGTTCTTACAACAGTTAAAAATGTTGCACCAAAGCTAGGAAGTCTTTACAAAAAGGATAGTCAGATTTTTGGTAATAGGAGACAGAAGTAGAGATATTCAGAAGTCAAAATGCAATATACCCTGCTTAATTAGTTCCCAGAGAATATCATTTATCTTTAATGCACATCATTTGCCCAAGAATACATAGTGCTTGACTAAACATCTCAGTAATAATGATGCTATTCATCCAGATTATTCATTTCATATTTTTACTATTTTAAAATGGATGTAAAACCTGTCTTAACAATCATAGAAAGTATAAAAATGACACTGTAAAATTAGAGACCCCAGTTCTAAGGTAAAATCTATGGAATTAATAGTGCACTATTGCAAATGGCTGTTGGATCAGCTCTCAGATCAAGTTTAGGTTGTTACATGAAAGAAATTAAGAAATAAATCCATTATCCTCAGATTTTCTATAAGCACTAACAATTTTTATAATGCAACATTATAAAAACTTCAAAGCATACTTTCAAAATGTTTAAGCCATTGTTTACATTTATGATTGTTCAATCATGGCGGAGAATGATGATTCCTAAAACGGAAAGAAAAAATAGCAAAGAAAGCAGAAAACAATGAATCCAATGACCCAGTTCACTGAATAAATATAGATGATCACCATATCCATGTCAAACCACCACCCGCGACTGTCATCCTCGAAGTGCAGATAGTCCATCCTGTGTGCCCCGTGAGGGAACTGCCTCCTTGTCATTGGGGCTGCACGCCTGTGAAACCCTGGGAGGCACAGGGGAAAATGTACAGTTCGTTAAACTCAGTCACGTGATTGGAAAGAAGCTGCATTAGTATCACAATGCTTGCACAAAGCCTCTCATGGCTTCACTGAGTGGTGTTCTGCGTGTCTGACGATTACGTTTTCAATGATGAACTCTGAGGAGTCCCAGTATAGAGAGCAGGGCAGCACAGGAGCTCGGCTCAGTGACTCGGACCATGTTATCCATTACTTTGGGTTGGAAAGATCTTATTGGCATCTTCTGACATAACTTGTAAAGATTATTTTCACATACAGATTTTTCTAAATTTAAACCCCAGTAACCACAACCACTGCTGGAACTACTGTTTGTGAACTTGGAACAACAGCTGGCCTTTATAACTTTCACCTTGACAGTTTTATTCAGTGCAGTTATTCCAGCAAAGTTCTACGAGAATTTGTTTCATGTTTTAGCACTGAATAAGTTGAACAGACATAATGGTGCTCCTACAAAGAAAATTAACTTTAATTTTCATGTTCTTCAAAGTATGGGCATACTTAGGGGATTGGCTGGCAGAGAAGGCAAATCTCAGAAGCATAATACCTTGTTACATTTCTGAGAAACACCGCATTTCAAGAAATCCTGGGTATTCTAGCTAAGTATTTGTATCTGGGTATAACTTGATCAAGAGAAATGTGCTTTTGTTGGTTGGCCAGTGTGATGGTTAACTTTGTGGGTTTTTTTTTAATTTTAATTTTAATTTTTTTCTTCACAATTTGTTCATTATATATCCCAATTGAAGCCTCCTCCCTCAACTCCTCTCCCTCCCTCTCCCCTGACCTCTTTCTACTGGTCCACTGAAAGGGGCTAACTTTGATGGTCGACTTGACACTTGACCTGGGAGAGGAAAGCTCCACTGAGAAACTGCCTAGAACAATTAGTCTGTGGCCATCAGTGTGAGGCATGTTCTTAATTGATAATTGATATGGGGAGGTCCACCACTCTGTGGCTGGTGTCACTTCTGAGCGGGAGGATCTGAGCTCTCTAAGAAAGGTGGCTGAGCAGGCCGGAGGGAGCAGATCAATAAGCAGCATTATCAGCATTATCAGAGCTGGAGCTCTGCTTCAGCTCCAGCCTTCAGGTTCTCAATTTGGGTTCCTGCTTTGGCTTCCCTCAGCGACGGACTATAACCTGTAAGCAAAATAAGCCTTTTCCTTCCTCAGGTTGCTTCTGGTTCCAGTGCTTACCATGGCAACAGAGAAGCAAACTCAAACAGCCAATATGTAATATCTAAGGCTCATACAAAACAAAGAATATTTCAAAAGATCTATAACCTCTCTATTAACTCTATTTTTGCTTAGCTACTGTGTACTTTAATAATAATATTTTTTGATTAATTAGTGAGAGAGCAGTAAAATATACTATTTGTTTAAATAGAAAAACAAATTCTGGCACTTGCTAGTCACTGGTGGTAAAGGTCAAATGAGGCTCCAGCTCAAAGCAAATTCTGCTTCATCATCTTTAGCAACTGAGTGATGTGAAGTGGCCTGCTCCAGATTTGGCTGCTAATTCAGAAAGCAAGAGTGAATTCACCTGGCTCTTGGCATGGCTATTTAAGGCCCAACCTCTTTAATCAGGAACAGTTCTAGCTTGCTGTTTGTGTTAAGTTACTTATTCGTATTATGTAGGCTGAAACACAAAAGATGAGTTAAAGGGAAAATAGTTGTATGCTGTAGAGTAAAATGCAGAACATCTCACGTAGGTATGCTTTAGATAATTTGTAATTGTCTTTATCTGACCTCCTATCCCTTCATTTGATATTTTAAGTATTAAAGTATTAATAATTTTAAGTATTAGCTTTTGTTGATTACAAGGAGATTAATTAGGTTTTTGTTTTGATTTTTGCATTGTTAGTATTCAGTCGGGCTTTTATATAGGATTCTGCTTAAGTCCATTTGTGCTATGTGTTTAGCTGATATAATCTGCCTAACTGGGCATCTGTCACTTTCAGCATACTGCAGCATGTGGAAAAGGATCAAAGAAATGAAGTCCCCTTCTGGGTTGTCAAACTTCTAGTTTTTCCTTACCTAACATCACATACCATGTACAAACACTGGTGTAAGGCCTCATTAAATATTACTAAAATAATTTTTTCCTCTACCAGCAACTGATAGGTGCTGGGAGAGTGCAATGGAAGTTTTGTTTGTTTTTAAAAACTCAGTTAGGTTATGTAAATGTGTTTTTGTTTTAATCCCAAGTGTGGGATTTTAGTTTGGGCTTTAGTATGTCCATAGCTGATAACTGCCTCCTATGGGGCATGGTCTTTGCCAGCTGGTTATGACCTGCCCTGTGCAGCTCAGAGAGGGGCAGGGTCTAGGGCTCTGAGGGATATAATTACAAGGACCCAGAAAGAGGAGTGGCAGTTTGGAGAGACCAGAGATGGACAGACAGAAGCCTTTCAACACACTGGCTTGGAGGCGACTACTTGCTGTGTTTGCTGTTGATGGAAACTGTTATAGCCCCAAAGAACCCATGGACCCTAAACAGCTGGGAGAATTAAAGGGGTCTTTGCCCCCTCGACCCACTAACCTCCTCTCTCTTACCTAGGGTTAAAGGTTTGATGGAAGGAGGTTAAAACCTTAAGTATCCCATATAAAATAGAGTTTAGAAAACATGTGCCTGCTCTTTGATCACCTCCCCCTGAGGGGGGAGCAGCCTTACTAGGCCACAGAAGAAGACAATGCAGCCAGTCCTGATGAGACCTGATAGACTAGGATCAGAGAGAAGGGGAGGAGGATCTTCCTTATCAGTGGACTGGGAGAGGGACACGGGTGGAGAAGAGGGCAGGTGGGATTGGGAGGGGAGGAGAGAGGGAGGTACAGGGGGGATACAAAGTGAATAAACTGTAATTAATAAAAATAATTAAAATTAAAAAGTAAAAAAAAATGTAGAACAACGCAAAGAAAACATTGTGCACAACAGGAGAGAGACAGTCAATCTTCTTTAAGTATGGTGATCCTTAGGAGGCCAACCAGGCTCCATGAGGAGGCCCCATCCCCAAAATTATCTGGGCAAACAAACTGGATTTGATGGACTTAAAACAACAACAACCACAAAAGCAAACCAAGGAGTTGAGTGAATAGGGATGTGGGAGTATATCTATGAGGAGTTGGGTGACTTATCAAAATATACTGTATAAGGTTCTCAAAGAAAATATTTCCTAAATTTACTTCTCTTTTATTTTGATAAGCACAAAAATGTTATCTTTATTCATTCAGAAGAACTGGACTGCTGTGCACTCAGCCTATGAGCCTCCTCTGTGTGAAATCATCAGATAAGAGAATGTCAATCTCGGCAGCTTTCCTGTTTCCAGATCTGAAGTCATTCCTGTAGGAGAATGAGGTGGGGGAAGTTTCCTCACACTTAAATGTTACCCAAATGCACCAAGAGCAACAATCTCGAAGTAGTTTCACAAGCTTCTCCGGCCATGCAAGCTGGAGATGAGGTAACACTGCTGTTAGAAACTACTACTTAGTATTAAAAATGTCTCTTTTTCTGGTCCAAAAGGATGCTGTGCCTAGGCCTGAGATGACTCAGATTCCAAGTAAATGAGCCAAAAATAAAGTGCCTGGGTTAAACAACTGATAGTATCAATATGTATTCCATTAGTGATATTAATGGCAGAAAACAAGTGAGAGTTGACACAGAACAAGAAGTGACGCATGAAGAGCAGGGTCAATGGGCTGGTCGCCCAGGCAGCCTTGGCTTACTCTTGTGCAGTAATAATGTCTTTCACTGTATCCGTGTCACTATATACCTCCATGTACCTATGTCCAGTATTGTTGAAAGACAGCAAAAGGGGGCAGGGAGGGAGGAGTGAATGAAGCACATTTTTATGCGCGAAGTAAATAATGATCACTGGCTGGCTAATTTCCTTTATTTTGAATGGGTTTTAAGCAAGAAGAGAGAGAATAGGAATTTCCAGCAAGCGTTGGAATTTCTAGATGGCAGGATCTAAATCAAAGCTGCCCTAAAAGAGCACTTCACAGAATACGTAGGAGTATTCCGTAGGAATACGTAAACTATGACATTGTATTACACAACACCAGAACACAAACCTCAGTGTTTAATGCAGATTCCACTAGAAAACGAAGGCTTTGCAAACACAAATTCCATGTCTAGTGATGATGAAATGAATTAACGCATATAAAGCATAGGACTGGCCCATAGAGAACATTCAGAAAAACGTAGATTCTTTTTTTTTTTTTTTGATTTTCTATTTTTTTATTTTATTTTATTTTTATTTTTAGTTACATTTTGTTAACTCTGTGTCCCAGCTGTATCCCGCTCCCTCATTCCCTCCCCCTCCCCAACTCCCTCCCTGGTCTCCTCCCTGCCCCTTTCCAAGTCCACTGATAGGGGAGGACCTCCTCCCCTTTCATTTGACCCTGTTTTATCAGGTATCTTCAAGGCTGGCTGCAAAGTCCTCCTCTGTGGCCTAACAGGACTGCTCCTCCCCTGAGGGGCAGGGGAGGACAAAGAGCCTGCCCTTGAGATCCTGTTAGAAATAGTCCTTGTTCCCCTTGCTTTGGAAAACTACTTGGTTACTGAGCTACCACGGGCCACATCCCAGCAGAAATTCTATGTTATATCCATAGATGGTCCTTGGTTGAGTGTCAGTCTCAGAAAAGGCCCTGATATATTTGGTACTTGTAGAGCTCCTATCCTTTCCATATCATACTAACTCCCCTTCTTTCATATGATTCCCTGCACTCTGCCGAGGGTTTGGTTATGAGTCTTAGTGTCTGCTTTGAAACACTACTAGGTAGAGTCTTTCAGATGCCTTTTGTGGTAGACTCCTGTCATATATTCAATGCACATCCCATTTGTCTTTCTAAATGAAGATTGATCATCTTCCCCCATGTCCACTTACTTGATTGTCTTCTTTAGGTGTGTAGATTTCATTATGTTTATCATATCTTGTAGGTCTATATAAAGACGTAGATTCTTATACTTTTATTAGAA